CGATAAATCATTCGAATATTTATTCGAACTTCGACTTCCAATTTTCGAATATATTCTATATTATAATATATTCGATTATATATTATTCGTTCATTCGATATTTTTGATTTTCCGAATTTATTTGAAACTAGCTGGCTTACCCGGCTCCGCCGTACCCGGACCAAATTTGGCACACATACACTTCGGGCCCCGGCGGGTGTCACAGTCCACTTTTCGTTATCGATCGATGTCGATTTTACCGATTTTTATCGATTTTTTTGCAGAGTTCACCTACAGGGCTAGGAGTTGGCACAGGGGGGGGAAGTGTGCATGGGGATTCCGAATACAATATTAGTTTTCAGAATTATCGATTACTTTTATTGATTTTATCGATTTTTTGTAAATTTTGACATGCGAGGCTGGGATTTTGCACAGGGGGTAATCGAGCATGCTGATTACGAACACAATATTAGTTTTCAGGATCGTCCATTACTTTTATCGATTTTATCGATTTTTTTGTAAAGTTTGACCTGCGGGGCTGGGAGTTTGCACAGGGGGGTAATCGAGCATGCAGATTACGAATACAATATTAGTTTTCGAAACCGTGCATTACTTTTATCGATTTTATCGATTTTTTGCAAAATTTGGCACAGGGGGGTAATCGAGCATGCTGATCACCCCACGGGGGTGATCAGCATGCTCGATTGCTGATCACCATGCTCACTTCCCCCCCTGTGCCAACTCCCAGCCCCGTAGCTCAAACTTTGCAAAAAAATCGATAAAATCGATAAAAGTAATCGATAATCCTGAAAACCAATATTGTATTCGGAATCCCCATGCTCGATTACCCCCCTGTGCCAACTCCCATCCCCGTAGGTGAACTCAGCAAAAAAATCGATAAAAATCGATAAAATCGGTATCGATCGATGACGAAAAGTAGCCTATGACACCCGCCGGGGCCCGTAGTGTATGTGTGCCAAGTTTGGTCCGGATCGGTTCAGAAATGGAATTTTCTATTCGGAACATACGTACAGACATACATACATACAGACAGACAAACAGACATTCAGCTTTATATATAAGATTCATTCATTCGATATTTTTGATTTTCCAAATTTATTCGATATTCGTTTATTCGAGATTTTTTACTTTCGAATCTATCCGATATTCGTTTATTCGAGATTTTTTATTTTCGAATCTATCCGATATTCGTCTATTCGAAACTCTTCCTTTTCGAGTTTATTCGATATTCATTCATTCGATGAAAAATTATCGAGTTACCCAAGTATATTATGCAGTGAGATCGGTAAGACTAGAAGCAGAAAAAATTTTGTGCAAGAGAACAAAAGCAAATTTAGATAATTTTCTGCACTCATTAAGGCTTGAAAATTGCCATAAGTGCTCTAAGAAGTGGGAACTACATCTCTGAGCAACAATCTTACTAATTTCTTATGTAAAACCTTGGCAAGTCGATAGTTATTGCAACTACTCTCTTTGACCCTGTTTTCGCAAAAGAATAGATTTTTTGATAACTTGTTGGGCTAAAAGCCATGGCTTGCACATCTACTTTTCAAACAAATCCGCAATTCTGTAAAAGTCGGAATACGAGTCCACTATTGCGGTCTCAAAGCCGGGTAGACCAATGTGACGCACGAATTCTAAGGTATCCGTTTCATCGGATCGGCTTGCGCTTGTGCATAATGGATCTACATGCTAAGAGCATGCTTTGTGCAAAAAATCACTCAGCTAAGAGCATGCTTTGTGCAAAAAAAACCATTCAACATCTTGGCTGTAGCTCGCTTCACGAATCTCCTGAAAGTCACAAAACAGACACATATGCACACAAACGTAAACAACCGTGCCCATTATCATAAGTTTGGAAAGCACTTCGTTTCATAAGATGCAGACGTGAAAGCACGTTGCTCAAAAGGAAAAAGTATCATTTTCTCCTTTTTCAATAGACTCAAACCACTTTTCATTTGAATATGATGTGATGGATTTACGAGTGAGGAACTTATTCTGAAAGTTACCATGAGAAGCTAGACTTGATTACAGCTCAACGGAAAAACTTATCATCTATTCTGTGATCGAGAGGCGCGAGACCGCATTGCGGACATTGTTTAACGAGTTTGAGTTCGTTCCTCCCTGTTTCCAAAGAGTGAATAAGCCTGAACGAGATAAATAACAAGTATAAACCTGCTACGTACACGATTAGGTTTGTTTAGACAATGGCCCGTAGTAAAGCTAATTCAGTTCAGGTGAACTGAACTGAGGCCCTCATCCAAGGTTCGGTAAGGTAGACTGCCTATCACCATCTTCCTATGTTGTAAGAATGCAAAATGAGATTTCAGCTGACCGTCCGTCTACCTGACGAGGTAGTCTACCTTACTTCAGTCAGTTCCATTCAGTTAGACTACCTATTGATGTAAATAGTGTGTCAATGATGATACGCAGAGAAACTTCTCGTAAGTTACTCCCGAGTAACTTACGATACACGTCAGTTTAACATGTCGGTGAGGAGCCACAGTGATGCTGACGAGACTTAACAAGACCTAACAAGTGCGGCCACATCCCCGTCGCTAGTGCCAGCGACGTAGATGTGGATGTTTGGCAAACTCGTCTTGACTCGTATACTTGCATGGACGTGGCGCTCTTAATCTTATCATCGTGGATGGTTGGCAATATCAATCAATGGCTCGACTGAAGGCAAGCTGACTCGTCGAAGCCTCAACTGAAATTTTATTCAGTTGAGATCGAATGAAGCAGCTTTACTACGGGCCAATGTGTGCAATGCGATCTCGCTTCTCCCAAATATAGAGTGAACGATATGCTCATTATCTGCCAAACGAGTATCTGGGAAAAGTTATGTGAATGTGCGTTTTGTTACATATTCTCAAGAGCATGTACCATAAAAGTTCTATCAAATACGTCTCAAAAATATTTAAAAGGGAAGTTTGTTTGGTCGAAGTGGCCTTTTTGAATGAGATTTATACTGTATTGAAGGGCATAAAACGCTGTTTCCGAATCTGCCTTCCTTATCTGCAGAAAGTTTATGGAAGAACAGTCATGAAGTTTTGGAGCGGAAAATTGAATGTGCATTTTGGGAAATTTAAGTTGCTAAAATCTTATTAGCTCTCAAACAATGCAACCAAGTGTGACATAATTCTTATTCTAGAGTGTTGTTTTTTGAATAAAGTGCTTTTGTGGTTATCACTGCTTCATAGAAGAGCTAGAAAAAGTATTACGGCTATACTTGTCCTAGGTGCAAAATCAATTTTTTGCTCCAATAAACGCTCATAACTCTTCATTCATACGCGTTCTGCAGATAATAAGGCAGATTCAATTAGCATTTTATGCCCTTCAGTATCGTATATATATACCAGCCGCTCACTGCCGCTACGCGGCAGGTGCGCCTGGCACTCGGCAGCTTCGCTGCTTCGTACTTTTTTCATACCTGGGTCCTGGAAAACTTTTTAGTGCTTTTGCCATCAGGCATACACGGTGATTCCGGGTTATGAATTCCGCGAGGTCGGTGCATCACCATTGTCGTAATGAGGCGATCGACGTCGGCTGCTGTGCGAGGTTTCGAGTCCTTGTCCAAGATGAGAAGGGAATGCGTGTGTGGCAACCCTCGCTTCTGCCACTCCAAGACTGATATGTAACCTACGACGCGGCCGAGAAGGTGTTGTGTAAGAAGTAGCTCCATGAGGGAGTCGAACATGCACTTGTAAACTCTCGCAATCATGTCAGGACGGTCGGTTGCAGCCTGTCCTGGCTGAAGGCTCTCTTCAATTTCCCACCATTTGAAGTTACATGTAAACATTATGAAGAAGTCCGGCTTGCCATATTTTGCGACAATGGTCATGGCATCTTGGTAGCCCTGAATATAGAGCGCGGACTTGCTGGCAGGATGATTCGCTTGCCCGGTGATCCACTGCTACCGTCGTCAGTGGAGATGAAGTCGAGTACTGGTACGTATCCGCTCGAGGGTCGGCTTGATGAGTGCGGATGTTGTTGAAGCGGTTCTGCTCCGCCTTAACTCAAGCGTCGACAATGAACTGCTGCGTATGTAGGCCTCCGTGATGAATCGAATTAAACTTGCCAAGTCTGACTTAAAGCAAGTAGGAGTAGTATTCCCGCTGGGATATGCAGGTGCCTCGACGGGCGTGATCCCTCTTCTTCAGATCCGGGCTGCAGCCAAAATTTCCTCTCGGAAGAAATAACGGGAAGCAGAGAAGATTGGCAAGATTAGAAATATCTGAGATCTTCTGAACTGCGTTGACATATGGTCGTTGACATATGGTCGGCTTGATGAGTGCGGATGTAGTTGAAGCAGTTTTGCTCCGCCTTAACCCAAGCGTCGACAATGAACTGCTGCGTAAGTGGGCCTCCGTGATGAATATGTATGGCAAATTCGCGATGAACGGGAACGTCACTGTCGTCACCGACGTAAACAAGGGCCACCTTGTTGGATGTAGGAGCGTTATGGCAACGACGGTCAAGGGAACGGTCCATCTCGAAAACTGTAAACTGGCTTAGCACCGCGGTTCTCCCTTGATGCGACAGCTTCTTCTTCCCTAAGCACCTCGTCCATCATCTTGTAGGATCGAACGAAGGGATTAACACGGTGTATTAGTGCACTTGACGGTCGCATCACGTCGGGATCACATTCCGAGTTCGCAGAGTGACCAAGGCGCTCCGCGGCTGCTTCTGCCGTGTCCAGAAATTACAGCTGGCCGATAGCTGCTCCCAGGGGAGTAGTGGTAGGTGGATTTTGAAGACCCAAGGAAACTGACCGGAAGGCAAGTCGACTTTGGCACCCATTGATGCCATCGCAGAATTGAATTGGCGTGCTTTGCGGAGGAGGGTCCTGGAAGGCTCGTCGTTGCCAATGAAGAGCTGTTGCAACACTGTAGGAAAATTGGCGAACTTGTCTTCGATAATGATGTTGCCAGAGTTGCAGCACACATTAATTTTATCACAGCCATTAGAGACTTCAGCACGAAAAATGCGGCGCTACAATGGAGGCAAATAAAATCCAACTTGCCGAGGTAGTGCTCAGTGACGGAAGGTGCATCAGCAGGTAAGTGTTGTTCATGATATCGTTCATGCATAGAGGCAAGACGTCGATCTCGTGCAGCCAATCTCTCATGGTTACGGCGAAGACGGCTATGCAAGGTTAGAAAGAACTCGAGCACGTGGCGCAAGGCGTCTTGCAGCAGTACGAGATCGGGTTTTCTGTGCGATGTGCCTCTGCGACTGGGGTGTGGGAATGGTCTCCTTGAATCGTCCTTGATGGGTGGCCGCATTCATCTCTTGGACGCATTTTCTAAAAATTGGTTATGCTGGCGACAATGAAAGTAACTTATGTGCATCGGGGCAAGTTCTTCTTGGGCCTCTGGTGCTTTCACTATGGTGAAGACGGTTATGTGCAGCTGCGGAGCTCGAGGTAGGTGCCGGTTCAAACATTACTTGTTGCCACGAGACAAGCGTAGAGATCGGTTGTGCTGTGTTCTCGTCATTTGATTCGTATCGTCGTTCGCCAATCTGTTCTGGGCTCGCAACATGCCTGGGTTGACCCAGTGTCCTCTGAAGGCGTCCGTTAAGCTGTGGTTCCTGTTGCCGTTGACTAAGACGACGTTCACGCATTGAGGCAAGACGCCGTTCTTGTGCCTCTGGTGTTTCTCGGCTACGACGAAGGCGGCTACGTATGGCTTCAGAAGTGCGTCTTGCAGCGGTACGGGCTTGGGTTCTCTGGGCGATATGCATCTGCGACTGAGGTGTGGAGGTGGAAGGTCCATTGATGTAGGAGTCTGTCGGCGCCATGATCTCGGGAGTAAAAGTAGCCGAAGGAAGTACGACCGATGAAGGCGTGTTATGAATGAACCGTAAGGCCGGGATAGGGTATTTTGATTTGGTGGTCATATGTGATCTCGTGTAAACCATTTTGACTTTGTTGGTGAGCTAAGCAGCGGACAAGCCGGACTGCGAAAGGTCAATGCATAGTTTAATATCAGCTAGCCTCCATCTGGCATACAAAAAATCAAAAAAGGTAAAAAAGTTTAGTGGTTGAAGCTCTAGATATTTTATTCAAATCAACCATACTTAGCTATCTCTTCCTGCCAGTTTCAGCTTAACAAAGATTGAAACACAAAAAGTCGATAAATCGATAATGCTTATATAGTGAAAAAACTTAATAACACCCGCTCCGCTTAGAAGTTCTTGTGTGCAAAGTTTCGTTTGATTTCAATGAATTTTCCTAACATTTTAGGCGGGTCGTAACGAAATTGTTAAGCGAAAAACGCAAAAAATCGATAAATCGATAGCGCCACTGAGTGATTTTTGGTGAAAAAGCTTAGTGACACCCGCCCCACTCTGATGTTCATGTATGCAAAGTTTCATCCTAATTCCTCATTTGTACCATTTCAGGCCGGTCATAAAAAAATTGCTTATTCAAATATTATATAGGTATTTATATATATCATCTAAAAAGGCCACTTCCAACAAACAAGCTTTCGACTAGACATGTTTCCCATGTTGATTATGGCCTTGGTGCTCAGGCAAAAGTACCGGGCGAGCGGCGCGCCACCATAAGAGTCCAGTTCGTGCAACATATAACGGTTATATTTATTTTTCATATTTGTGGCACTTTGCAATCAAGCACTAACAGGCAACTTACACAGATTTGTATAGACAATGACAGTAAAGCTAATTTCATTTCACGGTGAGGAGGATGCGGTACTGTAAGTGACGCTGTTTGAGATGTGCACTTCCAGTTGCGTGTACTGCGTACCGTATACGAATATGAATTGACAGAGGATGAGGGGATGAGGAGAGAGTGGAAGCGGGATAAGAGATAGAAAGGCGCAGGCAATTAAAATAACACAAAACATCACAAACTACTTCAGGCACTCTCCCCTTCCATTCTACAGAGCTTTGGTTCAAGACACAAGTACGGCCGCTGTTGGCAGCTGGTAAGAAAATGCAATTTTTGACCTGAGATATGTTCAACGAGCGCTTTTCACGTCGGAAGTCTAAACCATAACATTGCTTACATTGATTCTCTTACTTTCTTGTGTCCTTCTGGATTTTTCCCAGTTAGACTGAATATTAGGTTCCAGTTGACATCTCGGACAAGGAGATCAAGAAGTTGTCAAAAGAAATGAGAGCAACAGACGACAACAAGGCGCTGAGCGGACAAGTCATCATCAATCTTCAAAATAAATACAACAGGAAGAGTGGGACTGGAGTGTTTGTACAATCTGTTTCATTCGGATCAGGCCAAAATTGACCTAACTCGCATCCGCAACCTCTGTTTTGCAACAAATGCTGTAGATAATATCGTCTTAGGACTGCCCCTGTGCTCTTCTCACATTCTTTGGTATCTCTAACAACCCACATATGTAGCGCAAAAACCTAGCGTTGCCGAAATAGAGCTGACATTTTAGCCTGATCAGACTGCCAACATCCATCAAACAATGCAAATTCACAAATTTTTTTCCAGGTTCTCCGAAAGAGTTGACCCAAAACTTTTTGAAAGACCCACATTCAAAGCTTTTCTTGATATGACTGATAACTTCAATCCAAATCCGAAAGTTCGTGAGCCACAGGTTTCGCTTAAAGAGGTCAGTTGAAAAGTTGTAAAGTCATACTGCTTGTGATTCGCTGCAGCAGCAAAGAGAAATAGATGCTTTTCTGACAGCAGCTCTCAATTCGAAACCTTGGCAAATTTTCTATAAATTTCTCAATATGAAAGGTATGGAGATGTCAAAAGTTTCATCGAAATCAAAATTTTTTGCTTTAGGATTGCAACATGCAGAAAACCGCAACGTATTTCGGAAATGGATAGAACAAATCTGGTTCGAACACTATTCCCGTTCTAGAGGAGAAGTATTAGATAGTTCAGGATTTGAGCATGTTTTCATGGGCGAGGTACGATATGAAAAAGCGGTCGCTGGGTTTAAACAACGTAGAAGACGCCGCTAACATATTTGAACTACCAAAAAATGTTTTAAGTCATTTATAAACTCGTGACGACGGATTTTACTGCGGTCTTTGCGCCCACAGCAGCACACAACAATCATATAAAAAGGGGTGTAGGACGATCCGCACGACCATAATGCTTTCCACACAGGACCACCGCCGCGCGCGACACACCCTGCTGCGGCTTTTTCCTAAGCAAAACAGGGTGAGGAAAGGTTTGCGGCGTGCATTACCTGTTATGACAAGTCAAAATCAGGGAGACGCTGGAGACCGCCCGTGCGAAAAGACTGTCTCCCTATAAAAAGGCATCACCTCGATGCTCAGCTTAGTCACTTCCATTGTCCAAATACTATCATATGTGAACAGAAAACCATCAAGTGGGGACGAAAACCAAGAAAATGCGGTTGCCGCAAGTAGTACGTGCCGAGGTCGCGTCATGTCACGATTTTTCAAATGCCCCATATCATAAAGCTAAGCAATTAAAATGTGTAAAAGTGGCAAGATGTTCAAATTTTTGATTTATCTTCAGTTCAGAACTGCAAAGAAGAAGAAAAGAAAAGTCAATGGACTCCACAACTGGATACGATTCTACCAATTTGAACAAGACGCCAGCGAAAACTTTCATTATAAAGAATACAAGGATCATCGCAAAGTCAGAGCGCAGAACTTTTTGCAATACGCGTAATAATATTGTACATTTTAGAACATCCTAGCAGCATTGAGATACAGTTGGCGTGGGGCAGAGAAACCGCTTGGGTCAATGTTCATTGGAACTTCACCCGAATACGACATGGCAATTTTTACTCTTTGCTTCCTGGCATGGCTCGATAAGCGGAATTGTGATGTGAGTACAAGAAATAACTATACACAGCGGCGGACCGAGGGGGGGGGGGGGGGGGGAAGTATGGAAAGGCATTTTTAGAACTACTTAAATGAGTTATAGAATGTGCAAGTAACTTGTTCGTTCTTGTATAAAGAAAATCCAATATATTTTTTCTTTTCAAAATTCAAACTAGCCTTGTACAAAAATTTCTAGAGTGTTTCGGGGTTATGGGCTGCAAAGATCTTAGAAACCATTCCAAAAAATTTTCAGCAACTTTGAAAAAATTTCTCTTCCCCCCCCCCCCCCCAAATCTGGGCCGCGACTGCTGCATATTTATGTGCATATTCATTAAGCAAAAAAAAGAGAAGTCTTTTGTCTTTGTACTATTAATCGCAATTTAATTATCATTTGTAATATTAGAGGATATTTGTAACAATTTTTAGAAATTTTAGTTGAAATAATACTGCTTGAGGCCCAGCATGTACAGATTTTCTTGTCAATTTCAAGTAACTTAGATACTTAAGATTGTCATCGATGAATGCATCGTCAAAATCCATACATATACATTGAATCAAGAGGGCAAGGTTAGTTTTCTGGCAAATTCTTCAGAGTGTTTCTATCAACTTATTTTAGTCTTATGTTGGATCCGCATTTCCCTTGATTGACAAAACTACCATCTCTGGACGAAAGCATTGCAGGCTGCTCAACAAATCAATACATTTGTTCTCATCACAGTTAATAAATCAGTTTTCACAACGTTCGGATTCAATTTCATGGCATAACATTTTGTCAGCTTTTTTACGCAGCTTGCTGATTGAATATAGGGATTTTCGTTATGCAAATGTGGTATGCAAACACTGTACTACGAGCAAAAAGCATTCCACATTCCTTCACCAAGTAGCTGTAACTTTTTCAAATGTAAATGTTCTGTTCAAGACTGACGAATCCGAAATAGAACCCAAGCACGTGTTCAAATTAGCTGTTAAAGGCCACCTACCACTTCGGAATAGTTACATAATAACTCGCATGGCGTGACATTTGTATAAATCACTTCTGACAAAGAGATGCGCGTTACCGCAAAACTAATCGTTGAAAATCCCATCAAAAATAGGATTATGGCGTTTAAGATTATACGAATCTTTTTTGCATCTTTTATTCTGATGATTCTTTTCGGTTGTGAAGTTAGCCACGATTAGTCGTGTCGCAAAACTATCACAATCGAAATGCAAGAAGCTCTGATGCAATGATATTATCACGGGTGTCCTGTCGCTATGAATCACAACGACGAAATAGCGTAAACTCTGCCCGAGACCTTAGGGGCGGGGGAGGAGGGGGGATTTTCTCGCCTTTGAATGGTGTGTTAGTGAGTTGGTCCTAGTTCTGGTCTGACATCAAGAGGATTTAGTCATTCAAGCAAGCCAGCACGAGCCCTCACGGATCGAGCGGTTTTTGATGTGTGGGGGGGGGGGGGGTAGCAGGCAAAAGGGCGGCCGGACAATTACAGGAAGCTATACACACATCGCCTCGCCCACGTTGGTGTCTGAGTAGATGGGTGCGCATATGAGTAGAAGACGGCAAATACGTTGCGACTAGTGTCCATCTCCAGTCCTCTGCCCCACACACGCACAAATAATGGTGTTTGACCGCTATAGATGCACCAGCTTTCAAAAAAAATTCTTTTTCTTCTAATTTTAGACCATATCAATAGGTGTGTAGCCATTTATACCTCACGGATGACATTAAACATCACTGCTAATTCGTCAGACTGTTGTTTGTGTATAGGGAATGGATGATAACCTGTTATTCAAATTGTGCAATAAATTGCGAAAGTAGCGGCAGAGTCCATTCCAATCTTTATTTGGGCAGTGCATAGATGCTGATAACTACAGCGTACTGGATGTTCACATGCATAACTCATGAGGGTTCCGTCCCTTCGTGTTTTGCACGAGATCGAATGGACAAAGGTTAGCATTTGCAAGAAATGCCTTGCACTAGAACGCAGAAAAAACGGTTACAGGCTCTACTCTGCAAACCACATTAGTACAAGGCGGGTTACCTCTTGTGGAAAACGAGAGTGAAGAACTTTTGAAGTCTGCTTGTTGACCACTGTTCCAGATTTGGTGTCCTGGAACTCATCTACACAAAAGAAACCTACTACCACTTTGATAGAGGGAGAATATGATTACGATAAAACTCCTGATAGTATCGGTGGAGCCAAAGCGAAGAGCACAACTGGAAAAAATTTTGAAAAGAGTACGACCGGAGATGAGAAGAGCACGACAGTAAAAGATTTGGAAGAGAGCACGACTGAATTTGATGAACCTCCTCCTGAACCAGGTAACCACATGAGAAGACAAACGACCCCAGATTACTGACAGTATAATGCAGAACGTCTTGGCGCGAATTTCCGAGCGCTCTTAAAGGCAGTGTCCGGGCAAGTTGGGGCTTTTGGGATTTCAACGCCATGCCAAAGTGGCCCTCCTCAGACACAAAATCGTGTGCGAGGTCATAACGCCTGACCTAAAGTAAGAAAAACGACAAGAAAATGGGGAAACATACGCGCCTTGGGGCGGGATCCTCCGACCTGTTCAAGTTCCTGCTATGCGGCAGAGTACGCATGCCGCCACAGTCAAAATCGTAGGGTCCCGCAGTGATTTTGCGTCTCAGTCTGGCGGGGACCGTTGGATTTCAAATTGTAACGCTTTAAAAAACGCGCTTTCTCGCCGTTTTCGCGCCTTCCAATGTGGATTTTCGGATTCAGCGTTGCGGATAACCCCTGGTAAGTGGATTTTCTAGAAATCGTTTCTGCCCGGACACTGCCTTTAATCTGATGTGCGACAGGGCTAGCCGTAGGCAATTACGGTCTAGCAAATGTCACCACCAACTGGAATCTACTCGACCACCAATCTTTTGCCGGCTACCACACCCTAACTAAAAAAGCAATATTGAAAGTAATACGGCGCGCATTCGAGGTAAGCCGGGTGCGTATTGCATCTGGCGCTGGCCGGCTTGATGCAACACTATCAAATTTAATACTCTGAGTCTTGAAGTGAGATCGTTTGTTGCTCGAAGGAGAGCTGCGCGGAAGCATGCAGCCTGTACAGTTTGTCAGCTGCACAGATTTCTATGAGATTTGGAGAAAAATTTCTCAAACCGGACGAATCATTTGCACTACCTTTTAACAGTGCCTCATCTAGGGTTTCAAAAATCAGTTTTCGAATGAGAGTCCAATTGAATAGATTAGCCTAAACACTGTCTTACTCCCACTGCCGGTAAAGCAGCTTGACGAGCGTGAAGAGCTTTCCTATTGCGTGAAAATCACGATTCATAGTTCTTCTTAACACGTTGACGAAACTTGACCCACATGGTGGGTCATGCAATGACTGCCACGTGGAACAATGTGACCCACATGGTGAGTCATGGCTCAAATTTCGTCAAAATGAATACAAGAAGTGCATTCGTTTCAGAAGTTCTCTTACGCTCTGATTAGAGTGATTACTTCGACATTGGCCCGTAGTAAAGTTCCGTCACGGGAGATGATCTCCCCTGAGGTCCTCATCTGAGGCTTTGTTGGGTGAGATGAGGACTGCCGACTTCCGTGGTGTAAGTATGCAAGGTCACCCTACAGGTGAGCTTCGGATGAAGCCCGGCAGGGAGATCAGCTCCCGACCGCGTCATCGGAGATGAGCCGGGCGACGACATAGGATAAATACTGTGCTAAAGAGGAGAGCACAGAGAAAATCTCCGTAAGTTGCTCCCGAGTAACTTACGAAACACCGCAGCTGACCTTCTCTTGGGGTGCAAAACTCCCAAAACTGCACAACTTGGGGCGCCTAAGTGTGTGAGGATCGATGAGCAGCTGATTGCGCGACGAAATCGGAAAAAAAGTTTTTTTGCATTTTTCTTGTAGTTTTTGCTTTTTTTTCAAAGAACCGCTTCAGATGACAATAATTTAGATTTACCTTTCTAGTCATTTTTCGCCAAGTGCGATTTTCCTTGTATGAATGCCAAAACAATGTGTATTTGTTTTATCTCGTTGTTTGCTAGGTAAAATCTCTGATAGCTGCTATCATCGATTTTTCGATAACGGCCGCTATCAAAGGTCGCCAGGCCAAGCAAAAGTTGTGCCGCTAGCGGCACTCGAACCACGGCTCTGCCGCTTGAAACGCATTAGTCGTATCCATTCGACTAGTAATGCACAAATGGCAGAAACTTTGCACCGTTGAAAACGCGATCGTCCAGTAAGTGATCTGCTCGAAATCAATCGCTCCCCGGACAATGTGCTGAGGCGCGATGAGGTCAGCTCCGGTCCGCCTCAAGAGATATGCCTTGATGGGGTTTACTACTTGCCATTCTTTTCTGCTTCTTAGAATTACCGTAGATTCACCGTAGATAACGATCTGTTAATTTTAGCTGCAAATTTTCAATTTTTTGTGGACGGCATTGTCCCACAAGGCAGATAACTGAAGATGCGCGTTGTCATCAACGTGTTAACCACAACATTGCTATCGCTCAATTGACATCGAGCGAGATGATCCAAACAGAAGTTAAGGCTCCTGCTCAGCTTTACAATAATTACTACAATCTTTAAATTTAACTGCTAAACGAAGGTGCAAAACTCATAGGAACGCGCGCGCTTGTATTAGGCCTAAGGCACGTAAAATCGGCGCGCAGCGTTCACAACGATGCAGCCTTATTTTACTTTGTGTGGTCGGATAGGCTTTCTCTCCCCTATAAAGAAGGCAGCAATTACCTGAGACTACCTCGAGCGATTTACTACGCTCTAATATGGATCTATTACATGTTCACTTACATTCAAGGAAATGAAAGCTCTTAGTCATCATGTCTTTTCGTCATCGAAAACGAAGAAGCTCGTTTTTTTCGCGGTGAGGATGATGTGGCATTATGAAGCCTAAGAACCAGGAAGAAAAGCAAATGAACAGCAGCTGCAAGAGGGCTTTAGTGCAGAGCTAAGCTGGACCAGGAAAGAGGAAAAAAGGGGGCGATGCAAGGGTAATCTGAACAACAAACAGGAAACGGTGTGGAGGTAGATCATTAGATACTCCAATGTCATGTTTCTTCCGTTGGGCCAGTGGCCAATTGGAACCTGTGGTCTAAGCGGGACCAGAGCGGGCCAGTTAGATAAATAGATAAAAGATGAAAATTTATGAAAGAAAGAATAAAATACAAGATGGAAAGATTCGAAAGCAATGATGGTAAGAAGCTACCATGATGCCGTTCCAGGCAAAATCTCCTGTTGTCAAGGCTTGTCTTTTCTAATAACTTTGTCCAGGGCAAACAGAGCGCAAACAATCCGCAATTGCATCCTTCTGTAGAATCCACATATTCTACAGAAGTTTGGCTTCTATTAAGAGGTAAAACATTTATGAAGACTATACCGCACCTATAACATGCAGTCTGAGGCCTCTACAGAACTCTAACCTAAGGTTTAGGTAGCAATTCTCTCTTTAGCGATGTATCCACCCCCGGACAAACTTCACAAAATTTGGAGGGAGATTGAGTACTTTGACGTCAACATGACTCACATCAGATGTTCTGCTGCAAAGCAATAACTTGACTAATCCAAGCAAGACAGCGCTTGGTTCAAAAATGGTGTCAAACACCGTTGGAGAAGATGAAAATTACTGCTCCTTACAAGGGAAGGACACTAGATCGCAGTGGCGAACGGAAATCATATGCATATCATTAGATCCGTTTTGATGAGCTGATTCCAAATCTACCTTTCTTATCTGCTAAGAGCTTCTCTAGAAGAGGCAACGGGCGTTTGAATGTACAAAATTAGCAAACAGCCAGGGCCACATCTTCAAGGACTACTTGTTCAAAGACGCTTACTCGGTTCGGTTTATGTATGCGTTTCCTGTAGTCAGTGCACTCAAACAATGCAAGTTGATCACTCCTAAGCTAATTTTCAAAGCGCATTACGTATCAAAATTCCAACAATCTCACATCTTTAAACGCCCGTCGCTTCTTCTGGAGAAGCTCTTAGCAGATAGGAAAGGTAGATTCAGAATCAGCTGATCAAGACGCATCTAACGACATGCATACCATTTCGATTCGCCACTGCATCCTGGTATCCTCCCCTTGTTAGAATCTCAGCAAGCGACGGAATGGGAACTGTAGTCATCAGATTTTGTTGCATTATGGGGTTGTTCTGGTAACTAGGATCAAGTTGCAGTCTATGTCAGTCACGTGCTCACATTTGTGTAGGGACTACGCTTTGCAACGCTAGGACTTACGTGCGGATAATCGATGAGGCTAGCGGAGCTCCGGCGTAGCGACTGCGATGAAAAAGGGAGTCGTGATTGACACAGACTTTAGAGTTTAAATGCTTTTTTGGGAAATCAAAGATTGCATAACTGATTTTCCCGGAATATAGTAAGACGCACGATAAATGGCATGGAACTGGTATATATACCGGTTTTTAGCTGCACTTTTACAAATGCTCAAATTTTTCAGAGCCAGACATCGAAGACGAAGACATCAAACATATTTCTAGAAGACTGCGAAAAGCAGATTCTGCAATTTTAGAAGATTACGGTTACGTAGGCCTCAACTTCCAAAACAGATCGGCTAACGCCTATAATGCACCGAAAAAGTAGGTTGACAACCAGCGAACAAAAACGCAAAACTCATTCAGGTTTATTGGAACAGTTAGTCCCAAGCTTCTTGAAAGGCTCACTTTTGCAACTTTTCTCAATTTGACCGAGAATTTCACCAAAAGTGGAGTTGGAAAGCGACTCTCATCTAGAGAGGTTAGTTGAAGAGCAGGAAAAATTCGAAAAAAAATATTAATCGTGTGTGTTTCAGATGCAAAGAAAAATAGATGCTTTTCTAAATGCTGTTTTTGAGTCAAATCTATGGAAAATCCTCTACGATTTTTTGAAAGAGAGCGGTGAATGAAAAATTTTGCATGTATTTGATATGTTTATTTCGTTCAGGTGTGAAGCAAGCAAAGGACGTCACCATGTTCCGCAATTACGTAAAACAGATCTGGTTTGACCAGTACCCCCATTCAACTGCCAGCGGAAACACCTCAGGATTTGAGCAGGTGTTCGTGGGCGAGGTAAAATTAGTTAAGTGACTACCGTCCGGGCAAAATTCCGCAGAAATTCCACTCGCTCAGCTGAGCTTATCCTACCCGCTGACTCCGATAATGCAGCTTGTAGAGTAGGAAAACATTGAAAACAGGCTTTTGGACTCTTGCCGCCGAGGTCAAGATGCGTTTTGGTGGGACCATACGTCTCGACTTGTGCGACATACGCACTTCGGCCATAGATTGGGGGGGGGCGGGCAACTCGCCGATTGTGAACGGTTCCTTTGCTTCAAAAGCAAACTGAAGCAGTGCCACTTGGGAAGAGCTTTATCAGGCTGGGAGGTATGGCAGTCCATGTTTTTCTTGTAACCGTCAAACCTGTTCGGACGATGCCTTCAAGTCCTCATCCCTTGCGCAATTCCTTGTTGGACATACGGTCAGAGTTCGCGTATGCGCACTTCACGGTGTCCCCGTGTTTGAGGCCCGGGCTTGCCTAATACGATTCCACTCGTCACGCTATCTGGCAATTAGCCAGATGTCTTCAAATTAGCACTGGCAGATTACAGAGGCATAGTGAATGTAATGTAAGATTGGCAATGCGAAGAATCGCGAGTCGTTTCTGGTAAAGCATACCTCCGCCAACATTATCATCGCGACATCGCTAAAATTGAGTGATGCCACGTCGTTGGTTCTGTACCAGCGAGTGGATGATCACAGTTGCCTACCTCTTTTGAAAAAAGTTGCCATCTTTTTCATTCATCGGTGAATTCGCAGAATACACACTCTCCCAATCGTGCTTTTCCACCATCTTTTCATCTTTACACTCTTGTACAAAAAAAAGATGGCGTCTAACAACGTGAGTATGTATCTTAGGTCAAAAGTCACTCACAATGACTAGCTAAAGATAATGTTATATGTTTTTGCTTCATCGCAACCTCGTTGGTTATCATCCATTCCTGTTTTGTTCTGCTTCAAGCTTAATGCATTCTTTTTCTTGCCTGATATGAACCTACTAACATTGCAACATCACCGCTATTTGAAAAATACTTGAAGCTATCTTGCAAAGACCTACATAGACACAACAAATCAGCTCTTTTTTGCACTACGCTGATTGTTCAGCCGTCCTGAAATCGGGATAGGTATGCCCAGAAAGCAAGCGATGTGCGATTAGTGATTGGTCGCTAAGTTAGGTTTGCGGCGATCAAAAGCTGTTGCGATGGTGTACAAGAACGAACAGCTGTTGAACGAAAAAAGAAATCTTCTAAAAATTTTGAAAATTGGCCTCCTTTTCTAGTTCGTTGTTTAGATTCGATAGTAGATGTCCATTCAAATTTGAGGGCAGTAACCAGAAGCAACTATGGAGATTGGCTCATTAGGCTAGCGATCTCCGCTATTGGCTATTTATTCCACCAACTCAGACAATCACAGGCTCTCAGCCGGCGGCCACAAAGCCACCGCGAAAACCCACCAAAAGCGCCGTGGCCTTATCGCCTCACTGCCGCTTCCCGCTTTCCTAAGAGATAGGAAGTGTCCGTAGCCCAAAAGCTTAGAGGTTAGCTTAGATCGTATACTACGACTATGTACGGCCACGTTTGTAAACTCTGGATAAAGGTTATAACTAATGAAATTTCAAGTAACAGTTAAGTGGATGAGTACGCAAGTACGCAGTGATACACACGCATAGATTTACGTTCTTTAGAACAGAAAATATGCTGATAATAGACCTTGAGGGTACAAACATTGATAAAACGAATCCATATGGGGAGCAGCGACAAAGCAATACACATTCCACCGCGATAAATATATTCACAAACATGAGTGAGGAACTGCCAGTGTTAGCGCGCAATGGGGGTTTCTCATGCGAATCAACAATCCATTCGCGCCTGAGTATCGTTCAGGCAACTGTCAGTTCTGATCCAAACCCATTTTCCTTATGTTGTGCAACACTTCCTCTGGAATTGTGTGCGTCTTCGTCGGTGACTGCAGCGTCTAAGAGAAGCTGTAATTGACTACGATTACAAACATCATGAAATGCCTGCAAAAGAGAGAGTAGTTGGAAATATATAGATATACATCAAAGACAGACATTAGACAGAGAGAAACGCAAGACAAATATGGTACAGCAATTAGTGGAATTATGAAAAGCCCTAATTTCATTTCTAGGAGGTAGGGAGACTTTATCAAGCCTTGACGATAAAAAGAGACAGAAACTAGTTCCACATCACAGCTGTAAATAACTATCGTCGATTCTTTGACTGCGCGGACTGGACATAACCGCGGAGCACGCGCCGCGAGGTAAAACGCTTGCTCCAATACAAGATCGCCATTGTTCGTGCTCTCGCAACATGTTAACCGCGCCGCATGTGGTCCGCAGCGCTTCAGCAGTCCGTACGGTCAACGAATCGACGATAGCTGCGTTGACGAACGACTGCGTGCCAAACAATTTTCCGTAAAACTGTAAACCTTTTATGTGCTCACTGTACAAGTACAGTCGATTCATTTCATATGATCATGTGTGCACCCGCACACACCGTCCATCTTTGGCGTCCCCATCTCGGATTTGCGATCGCAAATCCGAGATGGGGACGCCAAATGCTGAAATGGTGTATCGAAAAAAACATCTTCCCTGAGGAACAGCACGGTTTTGTTACCGGCTCCTCTACCTGTACTCAGTTGTTAAAATGTTGCAAAGATTGGATTGACGCCCTCAGTGATGGAAAATGCACGGAAGTTATTTACTTTGATCTTAGCAAAGCCTTTGACTCCGTGAATCACCATGGACTCCTCAGCAAGCTCAACAGCATTGGTATCAAAGGAAATCTTTTTGAATGGTTCAAATCCTATCTTTCTGATAGGACATTTGAAGTGATCTACAAAGGTCAAAGATCCAATGAAATGCCTTGTCCATCGGGTGCTCCACAAGGTAGCTCCCTCTCCCCACTCTTGTTTAACATCTACACGATGGAGCTTCCTAATTTACTAAAAACAGATCCATGTATCAATGTAGCTGCATATGCCGATGATATTAAGATATATGCCAGTTATGATACTAATATTAGTGCGCTGGTTCATGAAAAACTGAAACAGTCAGTACATCAAATGCTACAGTGGGCTAACGATTGGGGAATCAAGGTCAACCTTTCTAAAAGCCAGTTGTTGAGATTTGGTAACGATTCAACTGAATTTGACTACGGAATTCCCTTAGAAATTAAACGGAATGTATGTGACCTTGGTATAACCATCGATCCTTCCCTCAAATTTTCCTCTCATATTGATTTTGTTGTCTCTAAAGCATCACGGATTATGTATTCTTTATTTAGAAATGTACATGTAAATGATTTATCCATTTGGCTCAGACTATATAAAGCTTATGTACTGCCTGTTTTGGAGTACGATAGTCCTGTATGGAATCCTAGTCGAAAGAAACTCATTGATAAATTAGAAAAAGTTCAACGCACGTTTACCAGAATTCTATACTATCGTATCTACCCAAACAAACAGTACCCTAATGCATTACCTGATTATAACAGTAGGTTAGCCTTTTTGGGGCTTAAGAGTTTATACTACAGAAGAATGATTGCTGATGTATTATTAGGGTTTAAAATGTTCAGATCTGAGGTACGTTTGAATTTCTCTGATTTTTGGATCATACGCCCGACCAATAGTCGTCATTTCAGTTTGAATATTTCTTTGGTTCGAACAAAAGGATGGCGCAAAAGAATAGTACAAGACTCATTCGCTTGTCGCACGTGTCGTTTACTGAACAAAATTCCTCATGAAATGATTAGTCATGAAAATTCATACAAATTAAGAAAATTTTTGATCAAACATGAACTTCCTCGGTGTTTTGGTGATGAACAGTGATCTATATCATTACATACAGCTTATACTTCTATTTGATTTTCATGATGTTCTCTGGACTCAGTTATAATTGGCCCAGCGCTGTTACATCTAAAACTATTTGTGATTGTCGCATCGTCATGGCTCATACTTATGTACAGCTCATACTCAGCTTTCCAACGCCACATTGTTTGCTACTTGCTGCTCAAACACAGAGGAAGCGGGGCAGAAGGTAGTATAATGAAAACCTGGGTACGCGCGGTTTAGCCGTATCGCCTAGGCACTACCTCGTAAGCGTACCGCTCGAAAGTGGTTCATTCAGTTATGTAACGCCATGCTGTATCATAACGCCATACCTCTGTTATTTTGAGCAAAGGTTGCAACGTGGCTTTCCAATCAAGCTATTATATCAATCCATTCTAGCCCATGATAATGCGCTTGTTATTTTTATACATTCTTAACAGCTCTGGTTCACCTATAAATGGGCCCAGAAGTGGATGTTTGTTTACCTTGGGTGTGCTATGATATATTTATATATCATATGTGCAATAAATAAACAAATAAACAAAAACGCGAGAGAGTGAGCAATTGCTATCGCTTACATCATTTAGAGATAAATAGTACCTAAAAAGAAAAGAAAACAGCGAGAAAACATCAGAATCGCTTAACGGAAGGGTTGCGTCCTCCAAGAATCCAGGATGGGTACGCCAAAGATGGACGGTGTGTGCAATGGCACACATGATCATATGAAATGAACCGACGGTACATCATTGAAAAGGTGCGCACTGTGTTTCGATGAATGCACTTGGCTTCGAAATGAGAATTTTACTTTTTGAAAAGGCCGGTAAGGAAAAGGATCGGTAGAAACACGTGCGACGAAAACAACTTACGCTGTGTGTGGCACTCAGACTAAATCTCAAATCAATCCTTCCTCACTCAATGAACTTTGCGTAAAACACGCTGGCGTGGAGTGAGCCGTGATGGTCGTTCGTTGTGTAAAAGGTCATGTTTTCGCGTGTAATCCGCTGAGGCTGAGTTTTTTCTCGAAAAAATTATAAACACAGGATTGAAGTAGCAAAGCATAGCGACGCCCTCTAATCAATAAGCATTTCGAAAATGGACGCATGCGAAACGCAATTATGCAGATCTTTGAGCGCAAAGAGAGCACGCTTGTAGTCGAATGATGTGACAGCGGCGAAAATGTTGAGAGAAAGGCACTTTTATGTTTACATTCGTAAAATGAGTGAATAGATGGTTTTTTACGGTTTTCGAGAGAGTTTGAAAAAGAGTTTTTATTACATTGTGGATTCAAAAACAAACGGGGCTTTCATTAAGCACTTCTTCCGATTGGATAGACAGTCAAACATAGAGAACAAAAGAAATCTGATATATAAAGAATCGTTTCAATTCAAAAATCTTCAAATTACGGGGAACCACGACGAGTCCCGAAGCAAACGCTCTTCCAAATAGCGCCTATGAGGCCCCGGTCAGACTTCACGCGACTTAATCGTCGCGATCTAATCGCCAAGATTTCCATTCATTTTCATTTCACATTCAAAAATTTCGGTCTGAAAAAGTATCACAACCAAATGCAAGTTGATCGGCATGGAATGATGTTGTAACAGTCGTCTCGTCGCGATTCAGTCGCGACGACCAAATCGCGTGAAGTCTGCCCGGGGCCTTATATAGGTACTGGTTCACTAGTACTTGAAATGAAGCACTGAATGATAACGAAAATGAAAACAAAGAAAAGCAAAGATGAAAACAAAGATTAGGCAACAAGAAATGAAAAAATGACGCGAGCCCACGCTGCCAATCTCGTTTGCCTGCACATTTAACTTTTCTGGTGCGATCAACAATGTCTCGAGCGGGCAACGATATGGCATCCAGTTGGCAGCCACAATACGGCGTTATGAATTAAGGCTGCCTGCTCATAGCATTGATGCGGCCCGCTGACAGAAATCTTGTATTCGCACCCCATCGTTTCACCGTCGCTGCCAGCTTAACGGAGTCGCTGCCTCATCGTCGCCTTTTGGCTGCTTTTGTAGGAATGAATGCGCTCCGCAGCTATTTTCTGACTCATGGAAGATTATAGCTGTCCGCTGGTAGCCCGTCGCTGCCCGCTCACCGCCATTCCTACAATGTCGTCGCCCGCACACTGCCACTTTTGCAGTATCGCCGCCCGCTCAGTGAAACTGCCCTTTATCGCCGCCGGCTGAGAGCCTGTGATTGTCTGAGAAGGCCACTTGTCTGTCAAATTTGCGATTATGCGCAAGTGAAGCGTTCAACCAACGCAGTAAATGGTATATACATGATGGAAACACACACAAAGCTCCTCACATACCCGATAGCCCATCTACTTCGCAGAATACTCGACCACACGTCAGTCTTACACAGCTTCTTAGCAGATAGCAGCCGTAACCTACTTATGCTCTACTCATTTTACTTATGAAAATTCAAGCTGTAGGCAAATGGAACGCTTCTCGGCATATTTACATAAATTGCCTTATAGAAAAATGTTGACGCTGGCACACTTTGAACACACGCCAGACTCTAGTCTCAGAAAGTCATAATGTAAGAAATCTCCTTATGACTGTTTCTTTTCTACTCGGAAACATTGACATGGTACCGAAGTATCAATAGATCTGTAGACAAATCCTAGTATGTAGATTACCTGTGTACCCTATAGATTACAATAGCGCAAAATCTATATTTACATGAAACTTAAAGTCTGTGAAGCTGTTCGTTAGGTTATTCGTTCGTTATAGAGAGGCGAGCCGTCAAACCTGAAAGTTAAAGCACAGGTATGTTCTCGACCCCGGTGGGGGTCTAGGACTACTTTCCTCGGCAATTCACTAGGCTTATCGACATAAATATTTTAAACAGTTTGCGATGAAAATGATCTTTAGGGTACGTTCATACTGATCCGAAAGTTCGGAACAGTTCCAGAACAGTGCTCGCACTGAGCGCGGTGCTGGAACAGTTTCCGAGCTTCCGGATCAGTATGAACGCAGCCTTGTCAGGCGCTATCAAACCGCTTGCTTGCCTTTTGGTGTAAACAATAACAGAGAAGTTCATTCTCATTTCGCTGTCAGGAGGATGTGCCACTTCCAGATGATGCTGCTTTGAAGTAGACATTTGCAACTACGATGCATCGTGCAGGAGGTTATAGGCTCCCGAACCAAGAAAGGAGGAGGGGGAGGGGCAGGAATGAAGCAGGTGGAAGCAGAATGAGAGATGGAAAGAAGTAGCCTAATGAAGCAGAACGCACAGAACACACAGCCTAACAGAGCAGAACACACAACGCATTTCATGCGCTTACCCCGTCCTTTCGCTGGCTCCGTAGCTCGTGGGCCGATCGCGACAGGGTATGCCAGCTTCTTTGATTCCGCTCCTCTGTGACATGTAGATACGCAGCAAGGTTAGGGCTCACTTGCTTTGCACAGCATTAGTGGGCATATTGTATTTGTGCTAGTTTGCGGCTAAGGTTACTGAGTTGTACATATCTAATTGCCCAGGCAGCTGAGCGCCCTACAAATTCAGATAAGAAGAAAAGATAAGCAAGGAAAGCAAGGAGGAGTAGTTAATGGAGTTCAAAACTGGGTACGATTTCACCAACTTGAAAAAGGGGATAAAGACTTCGACTATAAAGGATATAAAGACCTTCGCCAGGTCAGCTGCAAAATCAGCGAATGTAAACAGTATGCTCTTACATGCATTTAGTTTAGAACATTTTGGCAACATTAGACTTCACCTGGCTTAAAGCAGAGGGCGAAACATCTATGTTTATTGGGACGTCACCTGAGTACGACCTGGCAGTGTATACGCTTTGTTTTATAGCACGTCTTGAAAACAGATGTCAAGTGAGTTTGTAGGATGACATGAGAATGAAGGTAGAGATAAATAAACATGAGATTTAAATTTCAGTAGAGATAAATAAACGTTTAAACCTCCAAGATTGTACCGTAGCTGGAGATGGTTTACGAATTTGTTACATGCCACAATACTACTGTTTATCTTTGTTGATATGACTCAAGTGGCTTCATTTTTAGATCGAAATGGATGGATGTTCTCCTGAGATAATCGTGTACGGGACAGACGAAGATGGCAAGGTGTGACCTATTTTCCAAGTTTCTCAAAAGCTTACGTATCGAATCAATTTAGACTTACGTCGGTCACTTGGCCCTTAGTCTAGGAGGGGTAACGAGCACATGTACACGAAAATACTGAGTATATTGTTTAAATCAATACATTCGTTCACATCAAAATCAATAAATGAAATTTTACATGCCTGTTTTCTTGAAATATACCAGCCAGCATTGTCGACCAAGCCCGGACTCTCAGTGGACCGGCAAAGTTTACAGGAATGGTAGTAATTTGGTCGGAACCATCACGTTGATTGAGTTTTCATGACAGCAGCTGACCAGCAGCTTCACGTCATCTTTCTAATGAAACTATGAGCTAACCAATCGGAAGCCACGAAATATACTATTTTGCAAAGCAAAATCACTGGCGGAGATTCCACTCATTCTCATGCTTGTCCGCAATCATTGCGCTTTACCAAATTTATTCGCTGTGCAGCTTTTCATTCTTCTATAATGGTTATCCCTTACTGAGCTGCTAAACACTAAACGAAAAGTAGACCACGGAAACTGCTTGCCTATAGCTGAGGTCTTCATTCAGTAAAGCTTAACTTAGCGATAATTCGTCAAAAATTAGTGGCGCGTTATCAAGTTTGGCATGGTTTCAATGCGGTATATTAGAGTTTAGGTTTTTAGATTGTGCAAGATTATTTGAAAGCATGAGCTGTTGCATGTCTTATGTCTTAGCATGTCTTATCATATGTGATCGGCTCCCAAGTTCTTATGAAGGAGGAGTGTTGCGCACTTTTGCTGTCGTTTGTCAAAGTTCCACATTAAACTAGCGTTTAGCGAGATCTCTCGCTGGTAAAAAGACTTAGTCGCCTGCCTCCGCCCTTATACAAATTTTGAGCTGATCGTGATCTAAAAACACGTAATCCACTGTGTGTTACGCTCATTCGGCGCCAGTAGCACGACAGAATGATGTTTCCATCTTACTTCAATGCTTTGCACGTTAACACGATGTGAAACCAAAACATTATTGTTTCAAATAAAAAAGTGGTTACGGGTAATTTTTCATTTTGAATAATGATGTGGTGATATCACGTTCGCGTCTCATGAAATGAAGTGCTACATTCACTACTCTGGCTAAGGAACAATGGTGTTAATCTACTGGTTAATTCGAGTTTGGTTTGGAATGAAACAAGCATGAAAGACATATGGTTTTCTAGTAGTTACTTACTTGTTTCATTATTTTGTATGACCGATTGAATTGAGTGGCAGTGAGAAGATCATCATATCTACTATACTTTGGATCGAATCGAATGATTATTCGATTATTCGAATAAATCATTCGAATGCAATGATTCGAAAATTTGAATATTCGAAAATCTGAGATTCCGAATAATATTCGATCGTCATTGACTCGATCTTTCGATTTCCCCCGAACATTCGAAAATTTGATGAGCGTCAAATATTCGGCAATTCGATATCCACAACAACACGGGGTGCTCCAAGAGTATCTATATAATGTTTGATAGTTACTCTCATGAAGCCTTTTGCCAACCTTTGGGTAACATCGTGTAGGGATGGCTTCAGCTTATAGACACAGCAAATGAACCACCCATGCTTTTATTTTGTTTGTCACGTTAGAAATTTCCAACGTATGAAGCAACTGCGAATTGAGACAAAAGAATTCCCCCCCCCCCCCTCCCCTAACAAAATCTGATTGTGTAGCAGAGTTTTTACGTATGCTGAATCTACTACTCACGAGTTTCCAAGCTGTTCAAATGCGCAATCACGTTTTTGAAAGGCTGAAAAACATTTGTTGCGGTATCTGGCAGAACTTGTAAAGAAAGCATTACGGTGAGTGCAAATTCATATATGATAAGTAAAGAGAAGAAGTCTTTAGAAGTTTATGTAAGACTTCCGGCCTTTTCAATTTCCTTTCCTGGAAAAACGATTCTTGATGTCTCAAAACCCTCTTCAATCTTTCTACAGTAACTTTACAACAGTGAAAAGCAATCGATAAATCGCTCCATATGTAAGACTAACAAGGGAAGGATGATCGAAGTGGCCTTCTGAGATGGATTCTATATCATGTTGTAGGGCACAAAACGCTGATTCCAAATCTGTCTTCATTATCTCGGCGCGTTCCTGCTTGAGATTATGAGCGTTCATTGGAAAAAAATTGAATGTGTAGATGATACAAAAACGATAGTAACATTCTTCCTAACGCTTAATTGGACCAGTAGTAATCTTTCCAACACTCTATAAAGAAATACTCTCATAAGCTGCTGCATGACAAAGGCCTAATATCTTTAGGTAACGCGACTTTACTAGCCGTATAGCGCATGAGACGAGGGATTCACAACGGTGAAGATGCGCGCGTGCCACGTTCGCGCTCGCTCAACTAATATCGCTTCTGCGCCTTCGTCATACAGTAGTAGCCTTTACATGAAGTATATATTCGCACTCCGGCTGTCTCATTCAAGCGCTGGGAGAATTTTTGCAACTGTTCTTATACCACAAAAACATTCGTTTTTTCTTTTTCAAACGCTCATGACTCCTCGTCCATGAGAGCTCCCCAAGTAAGGAAGACAGATTTGGAATCAGCATTTTACGCCCTTCAAAATAGTGTACAAATTATCTTAAAAGGCCACTTCGACTGACCATCCCTCCCTTGTAAGCTGATATCAGCACACAGCTGATGTCTATACACTGTTGGGACCCCTGTATATCAATCCAAAAATCACAGGGAGGTTTAGTCTTTTCTCACGGTTAGGAAACTTTTCACGACCGTCATAAGAGTACATTTTAGGTTTCAAGTCTCTTCATGTCACCACTAAACCAAATCTTCATTGTAGATTTTAACATGAAAAGTCTTGATACCTACATGAAACAGTTTATTGTTAGATGTTTTGGTCTCTCATAGCAGTTTCACAGATATAAATTATTCGAATAGTATTTGAAAATCGAATACTATTCGAAAATCGAATAATAATTGATTCGGTCCGAAAATGTCCATGAATAATACTCGATAGTCGCTCATCGAAGTTTCCAATTTAGAATAATATTCAATAGCCGAATGTTCGAAAATTTCACATTCGAATATAAAGAATATTTGAAAAAATTTCGAATCTCCCTAAGTATACCTCCTTGGTAGATATGTCAACGTAGATAACAAATCAGCCATCACAAGACCTTTGAAAATTTTGAGTATATACTTCGTATATTCTCACGCTTCCAGCGATAATGTGCGTAGTTTACATCAAGATTCACTACATTATAATTCCTTTCGCACCAAAACTTCTTCAAGTCATTAGATACCTTCAAAAAGGACGCCCAGGGTCCCTTAATTATCACCAAAACACGGAACTTACAAGGGAATGGTCAGAAACCGAAACGGACAATTCAAACATCCTGCATACCATTACGATACCATCAGCATAAAAATCTGACTTTGAATCTGTATTGCGTATCTGCTTAGCGCCTATGTGGGCGAAGTTTTGAGCCGTTATTTTTGCTGAGAAATCGTGCATGCAAAGTGTCAAGAAAAAGAGATATGCTCTCTCCTATGTCGGGCAATAGTTGGCCTCAAGGTAGGCGCTATCGCGGGGGCTCGGCGCGGTGTCCAGTGGTATGGTGCAATTCTCTATTGAAGAACGATCCTCCAGGCAATCAGCGCGTCCACGTCTCCTCGGCTTGGCTTCTCGATTGAGATGCGACCGCACTCCTCGTAGCACCGACATTGAGACTGATTTGATGCAGCGGCCTTATATAGCAGCCCGAGAAGAAGTGCACGCCCCCGATCGCGTGGTCCCGACACGAAACAACTATGGCATAGCAAATCCATTAAAACACCACAGACACCTGTCATTCGACTAAAAAGGACTAGTTAAACACAATAGAAAATTACAAAAGAACAAAAGGAGCCGACGACATTACATGCTCGCCAACAAGAAGAGTCGTCCTGACTCTTACAACAATTCTTTATTACAGCGCGGGGATGACTTTCACACATGCTTAGTCGTCTTGGTATGAAGCGTGGAGATGGGGGTCCACTCCACGGCTCGGTCGGCTCCTTGTACAGCGTGGGGGAAGGCGGGTTCCACGTCCACGACTTGATCGGCTCGACAACGGGTCTTCAGTATTTGCTCTCAGGTTATCGCGTCCTTCTTCTCTGCCTTAGGCAAGGGCATACCTCACGCGATTTCAGTCGCCACGCGATCTGGCAATTTTCCAGATGTTTTCTCAATACTGGTAGACCCCAAATGTACAGCATGTATAACTTTCGTAAGTTGACAAAATGCCCCATCTTCCGTACATTCGGAAACCCCGTACGATGAGTTATGAACGTTTGGAGTATTGCCAAATCACGTCGCGATTGAGACCGCCTGAGGTATGTCCAAGGCCTTAAAGTAGTCAGATCTGCGATTGGTGCAAACGCTTCGGTGGTGAACACTTCCGATGAGTACTCGCGTCACACACATTTCCCAAAAGTTGTCTTCGCATCTGTCTGCGCTCTCGATTGCAAATGCATTCTGCAGGGCGGCGGCCAGAGCCCTGTGCATTGTTCTCGTGGAGCTTCCATCTGATCGAAGGCGACAAGATATTGGTGGTGCGCTTCGATCCTTCGTCAGCTCGGCCTTCGGTACGCGAGAAGATCCTGTACCTTTCTCGCATTTACCTTTGACTCGTGACAAGCGTTCGATGACGTCTTCCAGTCCAGCGGCAGATGTCTCTCCTCATCGTCTCCCAAAAGAAACTCTTCTATAGCTTTGTGAACAAGCTAACTGCGCCGAGATGCCCAGTATTCTTCCTTCGCGTTTCCTTGATGAGCTTCTTTCTTTGAGACGGCAGTACAACCTCCCTGAACCCTTTTTCGTCTGCAAACAGCAGGCGGCCTTGGTTTAAGGTAAAGTCGGATACATTGTATCTATGTGACTTCTTCCGGAACTTCACTCGACTGTCTAGCTTGTCCTTTTCAAACCATTCTATCAGATTGCGATAGACGGGATCTTTGCGAAATTCGTCCATCCAATGCTCAGCAACAGCTTCAGTCGGCTCTGCTACTTTTTCCTTAAGGTGGCGGTCAAGATGAACGATAGCATGTGCCAGCCGCCAGCTGGGTGCGCTGATCGCTCCCCCCCCCCCCTCCCCCCTTGTTAATTAGCCTAGGCTATCTAATAGTTCGTTTATTCTCTATT